TCGAAATCACAGAGGCGGTCTGCAAGTTCAAATTTGGAATCAATGAAAAATGTTCTGACCTCATCATGTAACTGGAAGAGCCGGGTGAGCACTCTGACCAGAGCCAGAGTGAGAGCCAGCGGACCTCGGTATTTAGTAAAAGCTGGCGGTGTTCACTACCCATCTCTTCACTCAAAAGGGAAAACAAACGTGCTTGCAGTGGACGACTTTTAATGTAATTCACCATTCTGACAGCATCGTCTAAAATGGTCTTTAAATCCATGCTAATGCCTCTCTGTGAATGCAGCAATGTACGTGAGTGAGCAGCGGGGCCACGTCTCTGACTCGCTTCACCACTCCACTGTGTCGGCCTAGCATAGCGCGAGCACCGTCGGTGCTGAGTCCAACGCACTTTGTCCAGTTGATGTCATTGGAAATTATGAAATCGTTCAGAATGTCAAAAATAGCTTCCGCAGTTGCGTTTTAATGTACGGGTCTGCAAAAAAGAAAGTTTTCCTCTATTTCTCCATCACATTCATACCTAACGAATGCGAGCAAATTTATGGGATGAAATTAGACTCAAAATGATTAATAGATGCACGCACAATTATCCATGTACTGCATACATTTTATACATGTATCTTACTAACCACAAACAAATACCTTTCAATTTGAGTCTGTGGAATTCAGGATTAAATGATTGTGCAGCGATTTTTACAAATACAGACATGTTTGCAAATAAAAATGTTCTGTTCTGCATTAATATATCATAAATTGCTCATGCAAACATGAATCTGTGCATAAGTGGATCAGGTGACACGTGGGCATTAATTGATGTCTAGTTCGAGTTGATCTTTTTCGGTTCGTTTGGATTTTGAGACTTCATTTTCACAGTTTACAGCATTTCACGTCCCCCACACACACAACTACCAACGAACAAGGCCCAGTGCAATTTATTAACGTGTACACGAGTTGAAAAATTTGCAAATGTGCGTCACTACTTTGAAACAAATGCTTTTCAACCAGTGTCTGCAGAGTTAAGAATTACATTAATGTGCAGCATTTTGTTCAAATAGAGACATATTTTTGAATACAAATGTTATAATTTGTATTAAAGTATCATGATTTGTGCATGTAGCGATTAAAATGTGCATTTGTGGATCAGGTGCCACACGTGCATTCATTCACGTCTCTTTTGAGTCGATTCTATTTGATTCATTTGAATTTTGAGACTTTCATTCCGCCCTTTTAACCTTGCCCAATCCACACACACACAGCTCGCGATCCATGCGCAACTGAGCCACAGAAAATCAGCCACCACTAGATGACACTAGCCCCACTCACATGTGCGCATTCCATTGTGTACAGTTTCATGAATGTTACATTGTGTTTTCTTTGTTTCTTTTTGGTTTGGCTATTCTCCTCTACCGTAGAAATATAATAAAGATGTTTTATTGAATTTGTTCTAACTTGTCTTAAGACACATACTATCTTATTTATTATAGAAATATAATAAAGATGTTCTATTGAACTTGTTCTAACTTAACTTGTCTTAAGACACATAATATCTTATATTAATTTTGCCAAACAAGAACTTTGTGATGGTACCTTTTTTTTCTGTAATTCAACAGCACGTTGTCAGTTATTCCTTCCTTGTATTATTATTATTATTATTATTATTAAAAGGGCTATTATAGCTCATTTAAGCCATCAGTAATCGCAAGTTTATATTTAATTAAACTATTAAATTAACTGAAACTAAACTATACTAAACAAGCATTTTATAGGCTATAGCCTATTCCGCGCTCAAGCGGATCGCATAAATAGCTAGAACATATTTTATATAGGCTACTTATTATTAAACTGTTTTCTGAGTCAGTGTCTGCAAAGATGAAGTTGACGATGAACGACTTTATTCTCCAAATTTAAATTATTTTTATTCTCAATATTTTATTTCTACATTTCATCTTTGCATAATAATAATAATAATAATAATAATAATAATAATAATAATAGCCTACAAGGAAGGAATAAGTGACAACGTGCTGTTGAAATACAGAAAGAAATTTAAAAAACAAGGTACCGTCACGAAGTTCTTGTTTGGCAAAATTAAGACAAGTTAAGTTAGAACAAGTTCAATAAAACATCTTTATTATATTTCTACGGTAGAGGAGAATAGCCAAACCAAAAAAAACAAAGAAAACACAATGTAACATTCATGAAACCGTTCTCAATGGAATGCGCACATGTGACTGGGGCTAGTGTCATCTATGGTTGCTGATTTTCTGTGGCTCAGTTGCGCGTGGATCGCGAGCTGTGTGTGTGTGGATTGGGCAAGGCTAAAGGGGCGGAATGAAAGTCTCAAAATTCAAATGAATCAAATAGAATCGACTCAGAGACGTGAATGAATGCACGCGTTTCGCCTGATGCACAAATGCACATTTTAATCGCTACATGCACAAATCATGATACTTTAATACAAACTATAACATTTGTATTCACAAATATGTCTCTATTTGAACAAAATGTTGCATATTAATGTAATTCTTAGCTCTGCAGTCACTGGTTGAAAAGCATTTGTTTCAGTGTAGTGATGCACATTTGCAAATTTTTCAAATCGTGTACACAATGAATTGCACTGGGCCTTGTTCGTTGGTAGTTGTGTGTGTGGGGGACGTGAA